TGACAGACCAGGGCCTTTGGAAATTGTGATCAATGAACCTACCTTCAGACGGAGATAAAATAAAATTTAAAATCTCCTTTAAGCCTACCAGTTCTCAAACTTGGCTACACATTGGAAGTACCCAGTGGACTTTAAAAATTACCAGTGTCTGAGTCCCACCTCTAGATTCTGATTTAATTGCTATGAGGTGTAGCCTGAACTTTGGGAGTTTTAACAGATCCCTAGATAATTCTTATATGCAAAGTTTGATAACTACTGCTTTAGCACACAACTCTTCACATGGAACACTTTTCACATTTCATCACTCTTCCAAACATGCATAAAGAAGAGAGTAATCATATGCTTTAGTGCTCACGAAATATAAGCAATTATTCAACTTGAAACATATCAATTCTTGGATTAGGGCCTCCACTGTCAATACCCTTCCCTGACCATACAACTTTGGGAATGCCTTGTAGAGGCCCTACTGACACGCTCAGGTTCATATCCAATGAAAGTGGAAGGCTCATATGAAAAACAGGAGATCCTCTCTTTTCCTCTCTCTCCCCCTCCCTCTCTGTCTCTGTCCTTCTATATATATATTTTTAAAAACACACTTTATTTTTTAGAGCCATTTTGGGTTCACAGCAAAATGGAGCAGAAGGTACAGAGATTTCCCATATATACTCCCTGCCTCCATTCAAGCACAGCCTTCTCCATTATCAACATCCCCACCAGAGTGGTACATTACAAATGATGAATCTACATTGATATATCGGCATCACACAAAGTCCATAGTCTTCATTAGAGTTCTCTCGGTGTTGTACATCCTATGGGTTTGAACAAGTGTATAATGACATGTATCCACCATTACTGTATCATACAAAATAGTTTCACTGCCCTAAAAATCCCTCCTTTTCCATTAACCCCTAGCAATCACACTAATCTTTACTGTCTCCATAGTTTTGCCTTTTCCAGAATGTCATAGAGTTGGACTCATGTAGCATTTTAGACTGGCTTCTTTCATTTAGTAATATGCATTTAAATTTCCTCCATCTCTTTTGATGGCTTGATAGTTCAATTCTTTTTAGCGCTGGATAATATTCTATTGTCTGGATGTACCACAGTTTATTTATCCCCTCACCTACTGGAGGATATCTTGGTTGCTTCCAAATTTTGACAATTATAGAATAGAGCTGCTGTAAACATCCATGTGCAGGTTATTGTGTGCCCATAGTATTCAGCTCCTTTGGGTAAACACCAAGGAGTGTGACTGCTAGACTGTATGATAAGAACACGTCTACTTTTGTAAGAAACTGCCAAACTGTCTTCCAAAGTGGCTGCACCATTTTGCGTTAATACCAGCAATGAATGAGAGTTCCTGCTGCTCCACGTCCTCACCAACATTTGACACTGTCCACGTTCTCGATTTTGGCCATTATATCAGGTGTGTAGTTGTACCTCATTGTTTTAATTTGCATTTCCCTAAAGACATATGACGTGAAGCAACTTTTCATATGCTTATCATCTGTATACCTTCTTTGGTGAGGTGTCAAGGTCTATGGCCCATTTTTAAATTGGGTTGTTCTCTTATTGTTGAGCTTTAAGACTTCTTTTTGATTTTGGATAATAGTCCTTTATCAGATATGTGGTTTGCAAATATTTTCTCCCAGCCTGTGGCCTGTATTTTTATTCTCCTGAATGTGTCTTTAGCAGAGCAGAAATTTGAATTTGAATGAAGTCCAACTTATCAATTCTTGCTTTCCTGGGTTATGCCAAGATCATCCAGATTTTCTCCTATGTTCTCTTCTAGGAGTTTTACAGTTTTGTGTTTTACATTTAGGTCTGTGATCCACTTGGAGTTAATTTTTGTGAAGGGTGTAAGTCTGCATCTAGATTCACTTATTTGCATGTCAATGTCCAGTTGTTCCAGCCCCATCTGTTGAAAATACTATCTTTGCTCCATTATATTGCCTTTGATCCTTTGTCAAAGATCAGTTGATTATATTCGTGTGAATCTATTTTGGGCTCTCAATTCTATTCCATTTAATTATTTTTGTCTGTTCTTTCACAAATACCACACTGTCTTGATTACTATAGTTGTATAGTAAGTCTTGAAGTCCAACTTCAAGTAAGTAGTACCAGTCCTTCAATTCTGTTCTTCAATATTGTGTTAGCTATTCCAGGTCTTTTGCCTCTCCATATAAACTTTAGAATCAGTTTGTTGACACCCACAGAAAATTTTGCTGAATTTTGATTGGGATTACATTGAATCTACAGATCAATTTGGGAAGGACTGACATCTTGATGATATTGAGTCTTCCTATCCATGAACATGGAATATCTGTATTTAATTTCTTGCATCAGAGTTTTGTACTTTTTCCTCATATAGATCTTGTACATGCCTTGTTAGATTTATACCTAAGTACTTGATTTTGGGGGGTGATAATGTAAATGGTATTGTTTTAAATTTCAAATTCCACTTGTTTATTGCTGGTACATAGGAAAGCAACTGACTTTTATCAATTAATCTCGTGTATCCTGCAACCTTGCTATAATTGCTCCTTAGTTCCAGGAGTTTGTTGATTCTTTCAGATTTTCTACATAGACAACCACATCTTCTGTGAACAGCTTTATTTCTTCCTTCCCAATCCATATACATTTTGTTTCCTTTGTCTTACTGCATTAACTAGGACATCTGATACAATGTTGAAAAGCACTGGTCTGAGGGGACATCCTTGCCTTGTTCCTGATCTTAGGGGGAAAGCTTCAAGTCTCTCACCATTAAGTATGATGAAGTATGTTAGCTGTAGGGTTTTCATAGATAGTCTGTATCAAGTTAAGGAAGTTCCCCTATATCCCTAGTTAACTGAGAGTTTTACCAGGAATAGGTTGGATTCTGTTAAACACTTCTTCTACATCTATTGATATGATGTGGTTTTTCTTCTTTGGTCTGCTGATATGATGGATTATATTAACAGATTTTTGAATGTTGAACCAGCCTTGCATACCTGGTATATTTCCCACTTGGTCGTGATATATAATTCTTTTTCTACACAACTGGATTTGATTTTTTTTTTTTTTTTTTTTTGTGGTACACAGGCCTCTCACTGTTGTGGCCTCTCCTGTTGCAGAGCACAGGCTCCAGGCGCGCAGGCTCAGCGGCCATGGCTCACGGGCCCAGCCGCTCCGCAGTATGTGGGATCCTCCCAGACCGGGGCACAAACCCACATCCCCTGCATCGGCAGGTGGACTCTCAACCACTGCGCCACCAGGGAAGCCCTGATTTGCTAATATTTTGTTGATGATTTCTGCGTTTCATGAGAGAAATCTGTAGTCTGTAGTTTTCTTGTAATGTCGCTGGTTTTGATAATAAGATAATGCTGGCGTCATAGTATGTTAGAAAGTATTTCCTCTGTTTCTATCTTCTGGAAGAGATCATAAGGAGTCGGTATAATTTCTTTCTTAAGTGTTTGATAGAATTCCCAGTGAACCCATCTGGGCCTGGTGTTTCCTGCTTTGAAAGGTTAATAATTATTGATTTATTTAATAGAAATAGGCCTATTTAAATTGTCTATTTCTTCTTGTGTGAGTTTTGGCTGATTGTATCTTTCAAGTAATTGGTCTGTTTCATCTAGGTTATCCAATTTGTGGTCAAAGAGTTGTTCATAGTATTCCTTTGTTATCCTTTTAATTTCCATGGAATCTGTAGTGACATCTTCTTTCATTTTCAACATTAGTCATTTGTGTAAGGAATATTCTTTTTTTTTTTTTTTTGCGGTACGCGGTCCTCTAACTGTTGTGGCCTCTCCCGTTGCGGAGCACAGGCTCCGTACGCGCAGGCTCAGCGGCCATGGCTCAAGGGCCCAGCTGCTCCGCGGCATGTGGGATCTTCCCGGACCTGGGCACGAACCCGTGTCCCCTGCATCGGCAGGCGGACTCTCAACCACTGCGTCACCAGGGAAGCCCAGGAATATTCTTTTAATAAAAGTTTTAATACCTAAATAAATGAACTAGATTCTCTTAAGAAAACTGACCTTCACTAAAACAATATATATTTTTTTTTCCTGAAAAGGACACAGTATCAAAACCTACACTTTCCAGGATTACTCAAACTAGTATTTTAAAAAATGTGTGATGTGAGAAAATATTTTCATGGTTCCTGTGGATTCAGCTGTTATAATTCCAAAGGGAGCAGAGAAAGACTTGGAAAAAAGAACTTCATGATTAAGGGAGATTATCTTCTCAATTGGAAATTTAATTTCCCCACCACTGTAACACATCATCCAAAAACTTACTAATTTTGAACCATGGCTAGAACTCAGAACCTATTTTGCTTACCCATATCAATTCCAAATTAACTGAAAAGGCAGAATTCAAATGACAGCAGCACAGAAAACTAGAATTCTATAATACCAGAAAAAAGCATTTCTTTTGAAACCCTGGACATTAAGTTCGGACTCTCTCTAAAACACATGGATAGATAATTATTAGGAGGACATAAAAAATTGTTTCCCTGTGGCCCAGTAATTTAGTTCTGTATTTTCCCTGGAAGATTTGAAGATATACCCCAAAAGGGGCATTTACAAGGATGTTCAAAGCAACATTGTTATGACAGTGAAAAATTATCACAAATAAGGGAATATAATCTATGTTATATACCTATAATAGAATATACACATACACCTATGTATATGTGTACATGTATATGACACAGTGGGTCTGCAAAACAACGTGTAAAGAATATCACTCATGGAAAAAAACAATAAAACTATATCCTTATAGATACATGTATATGTATACAAACGCACAGAAAATGGTTTGGAAAGCCACACTCCAAAATGATAACAGTAACTACCTCTAAGACTTTAAGGTGTCTGTTGCTCAATGGGGGGTTTTAGTATTATATGTCATATGTTTTTTTAAATAATGAGTTCATATTTTATGGCTGAAATGAATTTGAAAAAGATAATGCCTCAAAACATACTTTAAGAAATCAAACATATCAAAAGTATACCCACCTTGACACTGATAGGTGCCAACAAAGAAGCCGAATGACACGCATCCTCTTCCCCCAGAGGAAATAGTAGAAAGCAATGGAGAGTTAAGAGAACATTCTGGTCAAATTTGCATCCAGGTATGGCTGCTTAGCTGTTCCACTTAACCAAAGGGAATTCTTGCTGTCTTCTTTCTGTGGGGCAGGTGTGTGCCCACTATTTAATTGTGCACACATAAGGTGCTTACCTGCATCTTGATAAATGGAAGCACTGGAAGGATGTTAGCCAAGGAGGGGGGCAATACACATGCTTCCATGTCAAAGCAAGCAATGGACAAAAATCAACCCACTGCAAATTCAGCATCAGTACATTATGTATGTATTACCATCTGGCTCAATGAAAACAGAACTGCTCACTCCAAGACATCAGTTAAAAGGTGCTGGTCAAAATATTTTTATACCATCTATGTGATATAACCTGATGTTTCCTTTCCTATAGAATATCTTCTTTGCAATAACTGTCTTTCAAGATTCACCATCCCTTATGGTATATGTCAGAAGTCCCAAAATGATGGCTGAAATATGTGACTTTCAGATGTGATTTGTTTTCTCTCTACTGTATTGTCCCCATGGTATTTTTGAGAAGACTATTTCAAACAAAAATCCAGATTTCTACTTTATCTTCATCTGGTAACACTGGGTCTACCTTGCTTCATGGCAACCACCGGCTGGAGAAGAACTGTCTCACTGAGATAGGGCAAGCACTCTGCAACAGCCCAGTCCCCACCATGCCTTACTGCCTCCCCAGTACTGAGGCTGAGAGTCAGTTGCCAATATCATTCTGTTTCCACTGCTGTTTTTCTCACAGGAGAGTTAGGGATAAAATTAATACTTGTACTTACATTTCTACCAAAAGTGGAAAAGCTAAAGAAACAGGGTGTCAGATGTTTTAAGAAAAATGGAAAAGAGGATATTTTTCTATGAGAATGAAGAATATTTCTACATGTCCAATTGCAAAAAAGTATGTTTCTGCTGAAGTAACGTAACTTAACAAGCCATTGTGAAACTACTGGCCAATTCTCTCACTTATGATATCTTCCTGTCCATATTAGGCATTTGAATTTCTAATGCCTGATTTATATAACATTTATGGATACGCCACCAACCAAAAGATACAGAGGCAGTGAAGAAGCAAACAAAAATTGGAGTTCTGTAAATTACTACATTTTTACCTATATGAATTAACTTCACATTTAAATATACCACGCCATCAATTCTAAATATGCTTGTTGAAAAAAGCCAAAAAACAACAAAAAAGGAAAGCATAAATAAATAAATAAATATGCTTGCTGAGCGCCAACTATACATAACAGGTACTGCATATTCAGTATTACAAGGATGAAGATGAACAAAACAGTTCTTACTCTCTAGGAGCTTGCATTTGGGAGTGGGAAGGGATGGGGAAGAAGGAATAGAGAGGTATGTAAGTTACTCTCCTAGAAAGGCAAATTAAGACAGTTACAATTTCTAAAGGATAAGATAAAAAGGAGACAGTAAACCAAGAAATTTTAGGGAGTGTTGTGGGAACAGTAAGTCACACAGCGTACCTGCAGTATAGTGTACATATGGTAAGAAAGGTAGAAGAGAAAGCTGTAGTAGTTGGGATCATGTTATTGACAGACTTCACTGCTAAGTTGATGCGTTTGTCTTTAACAAAGTGGGTATTAGGGAAGTTCCAAGTGAAGTAGGAATAACACTTGTCATTGGAGCCAAAGCAAATAGGCTGGTTACATTACATAAGAAATAATAAATTACAGAAAACAAAATTACTCCTATAAGCTATCTGAGCTTATAGCTCAGATATAAGCTTCTACATAAGGTAGATAAGCTAGCTGCTTCTATAAGCATAGATACATGAGTGGTTTTCTAGAGAAAACCCCACTGCTCTTGTACAATAATCGATTCAATACTCTTGTCGATTTTTTTTTTTTTTTTTTTTTTGTGGTACGAGGGCCTCTCACTGTTTTGGCCTCTCCCATTGCAGAGCACAGGCTCAGTGGCCATGGCTCACGGGCCTAGCCGCTCCGCGGCATGTGGGATCTTCCCGGACCGGGGCACAAACCCCTGTCCCCTGCATCGGCAGGCGGACTCTCAACCACTGCGCCACCAGGGAAGCCCTCTTGTCAAATTTTTAAGCTTCTGTGATTAAACAGAAATGTCAACCAATCTAATAAGTAATAAATGAGAGCCCATGTGTATAGCTACTCTTTGCTTCTTGAGAGGTCAAGATAGTTTCAGAGGTGATCAAATGAGTCACATTGTTCCAGGACCACAGAATTTAGTAAACACACACCTCTGCACATGCACACACAACATACTCAATACCGGAGGATATGCCATCCTAGAACTTATGAGGGCCCTCATAAAGGGGGTGTTGTAGTTAAGGAAAAAGAAAGTGCCAGGTTACAGACTTGGAAAACCAAGTTTTAGCCTTGTTCTGCCATCAAGTAAGTGAGCAAGTCATTTCTCTTCTTTCAGCCTCAGAAACTTCACCTGTAAAATGAAGGGACTCAACAGGAATGAGCTCTATGGTCTCTTCAACCTCTTGCCTAATATCAAGAATTTCAATTCGCAGCCTTCAAGTGTGAAATGACAGGCAGCCTGTGTGCGCTGAAGCATTTACAAAAAGACCAAACCAAACAAAAAAGTTCCTGGTGCTGAAATATTGAAGATCTCACATAAAAATCCAGTTTTCTCACTTCTCTTGAAACCCCAGAAAATCTGGCAACACAAGATCCAAATCCCCAGATGGCCAGTCTGCTGTGGTTGAGCAGGTGCCGCCTCCCCTTTAACAGGACCTACCTTGTTTTCCAGTTTGCCACAGTCTCCACCCTCTGCCTCACACATGTGTCACCTGTCCGACTCTGAGTGACCACTGCCATACACATAGGAGGCATCCCCTCTATTTATTCACTCTACAGATATATGAGCCATGCACTGAACTAGATGCTGTAAAAGAAAAAAAAAAATTAGACATGCCTAGTCAAGAAATAGGAAGTCACTATCAGAAACAATAGATCTGAGAGTGGGATTTCAAGTCATGGTGGAAGAAATTATTTTAATTCTTCAAATACCAAAGGAAAGGGATCTATAATCTAGATCAATATTGTCAAAAACAAGAATATGAATATTTGGTAAAAAATTCAAGCTTCTTAAGTAGAAGATTCAAAGTCAGGTTTTTCCCTACATAATAAACCATTAAGTCTACAGGTTCTTCGTAGGATCACAAATGCAGATTCCTGCTAGCAGGCTGAGGGCTGTCCATAACTGCAGAAGCTCAGCCTCAGTCATGAGGATGCTCCTTGACTACAGTCTGATGTGAAAGCAATAGAGCCTGAGATCAGATCGGTCACTGAGGTGCAAAAGCATAAATACCTAGGTACAGAGGAGGACAGTGGACTAAGGTCTTAACTCTTAGTCATGTGTGGACCATGAACCATCAGTCTGGCCACTCTAGCTCTCCAAGACACACCACAGTTCTTTACTCTGTCCGAATTCTATCATGCAGGATTTTCCAGGAAACAAGATTTGCCTTTTTCATTTCATTTGTCATCTCCCTTGACAGTTCACCACTGTGATGTGTCGTGTTGGCTCTTAAGCACCTGTCACCCTCTGAGGATGTCTATGTAAAGGATGCCATTAGTAGTGTTCCTTCATTGCTAGAAATTAGGCAAGGATAGAAGTGGCAGAATGATGACAATATATGAAAGTCACAATTTATAACAGCAAAAGACAGCCTAAATACCCATCAACAGAGACCTGGTAAGTTAAATTATGGTAAAGACATAAAATAAAACATTCTACAGCTATAAAAGAGGATGGGATGGAATGCTATTGAGGAATAAAAAGGGAACAAACCATCGATACACATACCAACTTGGATAAATGTCAAGGGAATGACACCAAGTGAAAAAAGCCAAAACACCAGTCCCCAAAGGTTACATACTATATGACTTCATTTATATAGCATTCTTTAAATGATAAAATTACAGAGATGGAGAACAGATTAGTGGTTGCCTAGGGTTAGAGATGGGGCGGTGGGAGGGGGAGGAAGATGGGGGTGGATACGCAAACCTACACACGTGATAAAACTGTACAGAAACAGACCCACACAGTATATATTCCATGCCATCAAAAGAACAGAAATACAGATAAATTTCTAAAAATTATCAGTAAAGCTTCTTACAATAAGAAGGTACCTTTGGAAAACTAAAGAGGAGGAAAGAGAAGAGGGGGAGAAGAGGGAGAGGGGAGTAGGGGTGGGGGGATGAGAATGGGAATGTTCTATGTGACCAGAATGACCTCTAAGACATACTACAAAGCAAAAAACAAAAAACACCATAGTAGTGTGTGTAGCACTCTACCATTTGGGTAAACTGAAACAAAAATGTTAATGCTTATCCACAGAATTTTTCTGAAAGGACACAAAAGAAACAGTCAACACTGGTTGCCTCTACAGATGGGATAGTAGGAGGCTGAGGACTTGGATGGAAGGGAGGAGATGTTACTATACATACTCTTGAACCTTCTGAATTTCATACCATATGAATGTATTACTTGTTCATAAAAATTACTATTTTCTTTTTGAATATATGACAAGGCAAATCAATGCTTCAGTGCCTTTGTTCATACATGTGGTCTGGCAACAGCTTTCCATTACTACTCATCCCCTCCTGGGTACTTATTAATGAGCCTTTCTACCTAAGTGATTCTCTTAAGCCTCCATACTAGTTCTGAAGATCAGTTTCACTGGTTACCTGAAAATGCTTCTAAATTATTACTCTTCCAACCTACACTCACTGCACTATTTCATATGGTCTAGCTCAGTTATAGTAGCTGACTATAAAAGGTGACAATTATCTTCAAGCCAAGTGAAAATTTTTAATTTTAAAAGCTTATATGAGAACAAGTGACAGCTACCAATTTTTGAGCTTGATACTGTGCCAAGCAGCTTTACAAGCATTATCTCAATTTACTCCTCACAGAAATCTTTAATAGGTGAGTTTTGTTATTTTTATTTTATAGACGAGGAAACTGGAGCTCAGATAGGGTAAATAATTTGATTAACGTCACATAGGTTCTAAGAAAGGAACCTGAACCTGTATTAGGGTCTGTCAATACTAGAAATGAGGAATCATTCTTCTATAGCCTAGTAAAATGCATCTCAGTTTTGGTAACTCTAAACTCTAAAATCCATCTGAAACAGCTGTATGGTCTCTTTGTAGCTGACAACCTGCTGCTTTTACAGTGCTAGCAGTAAGCTGGCTCTAGACGTCTATTATTACCAAAATACCTGCACCTTGTGTAGTTAGGAAGATAAAACACTAAACAAAAAGCTGAGGTGCCTCCAAAGTAATAAATTTTTAGACAATCCAATTCAGAATTTAATACGTGGTCTCCAGATGAGATGGCACTTACTCTGATCTGTACAATCAACAATCAAATTATTTCACAAGACATGAATCCAACCAGAAAATTTAAGGTTTTATCTTTATCCAAAAAAACTTCTGAATTAACTATTGATATCTTAATCAAATTTGAACTTCTGGAAAATTATGTGAATCAAGTAAGTGTCAACAAGCAGACTACCGTGTATTATTAATGGCTTTTGATCTCTGTTTCAGTCACAACATATTTTGAATACGCCAGCTTAACCCTAAATAAAAGATTCCCAAATAGAAAAATTTCTGCATCTCATCTACCACATTACTTGCACGGGAGTTTATAAGTAGAGTTGAATTGCTGAAGTGAGAGGTTTTACGTTTAGTTTAAAAGATCTGAAACATTAAAGATAACTGGAACTTTCCCCAACATCGGACTATTTTGTATTAAGACACAGATACCACAAAAGATTTTAAACTTAATATGTTTAAAATAAAAATTAAAAAACACGTACCAAGCAGCTTTCTGAGATAAGGAAAACAATGTTAATAAATAACAGTAAAATGCTACCAAATAAATGCAACCCAAGTTTGGTCCTCTGTATTCCAAGGACATCTCTTAATAAACTTAAAGTATTTGTGTTATCAAGGCAATTTCTAACCACACCAAATTTCTCCAAGATATTCCTGATCTTTTTCTTCTATTCTGCTTCTAGCAATAATGTAAATTTAAGAATTTCTTAACAGCAAAGTCAAATATCAACTGACTATTACTTTCTTTTTGGTGCCTGATCTTTTTTTCATTAATCTCCTTTCATCGAGGTTATGTGTTATACCAAGTAGGCAACATTCTATGTTCATCGCCTAAGGTCATGTTAATCTGTATCTTCTAAAAATCAGCAGAGGCTATTTCTGACCCTGTTCATTTTCCCTCCCCCCTCTTGGCATAAGATCGCAGACACAAAGCCATGGCTGCAAGGCAAAGCATGACAGATTTAAAGGGATTCCTGGGTGATTAACACTTCTCATTTCATTGGCATTCTGAATACTGTCAGTCAGAACATAAAAAGGTTAAGAAAACTGAAGTAAAACACTCTCTCTAAGAACATATATACCTCCTGAACTAAAGAACACATTCTGGAAATTTTGTTTTTTGATGAGAATGGACATTTGGTAGATTCAGTAATTAGTAAGTTGGTCTTTGTATAAATGATAATTCTATTGACTATCCTGTGATGTACCTTAATTCAACATAGGAGAGGCGGCTGAGAAAGGTCACTATATAGAAATGTCTTGTCGGCCAATAAGTGATCAAAGTAGCTTGTTAAACACTACAATCACCAGAAGTTACTTAATGTAGCAAATTATACATTCAGTATTGACTTGTTAATAACATAAAGCCTCTTACATGTAAACATTCAGAATTGCAGCAAAGATTAAAAAAAGTACAGAGTCATCAGAATTTCCCATTAGTCTTCAGCACTATAATTTCAAGCTCTTGAACCCAAAACTGATACTATTTGAATGGTAATAAATATTATAATAAACAATAAATATTATCTCTATTCA